ACGAAGCGCCGTGCTGTCCTACATGCCTCCAGGTAGGAGCGATGGAGCACCCACTTTCCAGCTGCCATGGATGCCAAGAATTTCTCATTGCGAAGGGGGCTTCCCACAACGGTGTGTGTACAGCGAGGGTCAAAGCACTGTTTCTCAAGCACCACCCCGCCTAAAGAAGAGAAGAGAAGGAGAATGGATTCTAGCTCCAGTTCATTAAAGAGGCAACACTAAAAGGGTGACATCTAAGAGACGAAAGCCTGTTTTATAAACCAGATAGCAAGTTCTGTATACACTCAGCAATGCAGAATTAGCATCTAAGCAGAGAACCCCAGCAGCGTTGCGAATGTCTTACCCAGCTCTTCAATTAAATGGGAATAATCAATGCGCTCTTGGGGGTTAAGGGAAGACAGCTGGAATCTGCGCTGTTTTTCTGGTTCATCATCAGACTTCTGGTCTGTTTTAATGACCTGCAAGACAAAATTTGGGGGCACATGCAAAAGAGAGATAAACCAATGAATCTGATGTCTAGCGGTTTATTTGCAAATCACCCATGCTCTCACATACAATGTAACCCAGTCATATGCACTGAGACTATATTTGGTAAGCCGCTCGAGAGAGCCTCTGGGCAAATGTTGTCGTCTCCCCCAACCCCCCCCCCAAGATGTTTGTGCTCAAGTCCAAATTGTAAAGAGAAGCTTACAATAAAAATCCTTTTACTCTGAGCAACTGCTGCCAGCTAACATGCCAGAGGAAAATCCTATCTCTATGAAATATGGGAAATACAGGGAAGCATGAGACTCAGTGGCAAAGAGCCAGAGTGTTCCACAAGATTAGAATTTCGGTACTAAAGCTTGATAGAGCTGCGTATATTTCAGCAAATCCAACAGACTTTTCAATCACAAGAAAAACAATTCATTAACTCTTGCTCTTCATTATTGGAGTTATGGGTACTTCTTTTCCTGTTCCAACTGCTCCATGACTGTCTAGCTAGCAGGACAGATAAGATTATAGGAAGGAGTTAAAGCAACGGCTAGGCAGCTAGTGAAATTAAATGCTGACTGCTTCTTGTAA